TCTCTCTCTCTCTCTCTCTCTCTCTCTCTCTCTCGGCAGAAATGCCAGTCGGGCCTTCATGGGATTGTGTTGCTGACTTCAGGAATGTTTGGACTAGGCTGGATTGGCCAAAACATGACATGTTCTGAGAGGTGAGTGCACCTTGTTAGGAAAGGGGAGTGTCCACATCACTTAGAGTCAATGGGGCTTGAACAGGACACAGAGAATGAGGTCAGGGACAGATCAAGGACAGATGCCTGAGGAGAGTGAGGCCACAGAGTTCAGGATCCAGATACCATCACCACATCGAGCACCTCAGCGACTCCTGTGCATGGCCAGCAGGTATGGAGTGAGTTCAAGGCTCAAAGCCAGGCCAGGCTGGTTTTAAGTCTTGAGGCTGGTGTGTATGTGAGTGGAGTCCAAGCTTCAGGGAGATGGGGTTTGAGGGGAACCACCACACCCAGCTTACTCCAAGGATCAACTCTAGCAGCCTTTGGAGGACTCTGAAAAAGCTCTCAGTGGATTCGTTTTTGGTGAAAACTGTTTGGTAGAATTAAAGCAGGTTGGCTAGTTGGCTGCCTCTGCCCCAGAAGCCCTGTGCTAGGGAGCGAGCTGGTCTCCTTGACTCCCAGCGGTATGATTTTCTGGGGCATCCGACTGGTTGATTTGCAGTGACGTGTATCTCCCTGTGGCCAAAGGGCCTTGCTTAGGTTTGAATCAAAGGATGTTAAAGCTGAAAGAAATCTAAAAAAATCTTCTAGTTGAGGGCTGGCAAACTGGATTCATTGTGAAGGTCGTCTCTGACAGTTGGTAGGAGCTGCTGAGAGCACGGGGTGGGGTAAGACCCTTGAGTCTCGCCTAGATGAGAAAAGAACCATGGTCTAATTACTGGCGAAGTAGATGCAAGAAACACGGCTTTGCCAGGAATGGAAGGAAGTTACGCTAAGGGTGTGGGGAAGAAAGATCAGACCGTCATAGACGTGGCAGGATGCAGGTGTCCCAGCAAAGTTGGTAGGAGAAGTGAACAAATAGGCAGGGCTAGAAAAAGGATCCATAGCAATGTAAAATACCATAGCTTTCATCTGAGGGACTTTCCTGTTAGGTCTCCACCTCCCCCCCCCCATGACCCTGCTCTCAGCTGGTGAACTCCCAACACAAAATCACCTGCTCTCTGGGGTTTGTGCTTGCCTCCTGCCTTAGTCGGTTTGAGCCGCTGAAACACAGTAGGTGGTGTAGCTTATCAGATGTGTATTTCTCACAGTTCTGGTGGCTGGGAATTCCAAGATCAAGGTGGATTCAATGTCTGGTGAGTGTTCTCATGCTGGTTCATAGACCATCCTCTTCTCGCCGCTTCATATGGCGGAGGGAGCTCTCGGGGGTCTCCTGTAAGAACACTAATCCCGTGCATGATGGCTCGGCCCTCATGAGCTCCCCAAAGCCCCGCTTCCTAATGCCATTTCGTTGGGGGTTAGGTTCCAACAAATGACCCTCCTGACCTTATGATGCAGAGTGGCAGGAAGTGCCCAGGTTTTACTCCCTGGCATGGGGAAAGGGTGGAGGCGGGCCTGAGGGACAAGAGGGCAGTTCTTTGGGACAACTGGTGTATAATCGGTTGGACCATCTGTGAAGTTCAAGGCCATGCGACTCTTACTGTTTATTGAGCTTTGCCCTTGTTTGCCAACAATGGTACAGGGATTCAACTTCCTCTGATCTTCCTGAGCCCCCTCCCCCACCATCTCCCCTGGGTTCCACCTGCCGCATTTCCTGTTACTGAATGTCGGTTTGTTTTTAAATCTCATGCAGATTCACTTTCCAAGACCTGCCTGCCCCCACCACACTGCGGACCCTGAAGTTAATTTTCAGATAGACAATCTGGAACTACCTTTGCATTCATTCAAAAAGAGGACCAGGTCGGCTTCCAGTCCTTTGTAGAACTGTCACATTACGCCTTGTTTTCAGCCAGGTTGCTGCGCTCCAAGGATAGAAAAATAAATCCGGTAATAGAAATAGCAGTCTTTTTTAAAAAAATGTTTTTTATCTATTTTTGAGAGAGAGTGGGGGAGGAGCAGACAGAGGATCTTAAGCAGGCTCGGTGCTGACATGGGGCTTGAACTCATGAACCACGAGATCCTGACCTGAGCTGAAATCAAGAGTCGGATGCTGAACCGACTGAGCCACCCAGGCGCCCCTAAAAATAACAGTCTTAATAACTCACACTTATTTATCATGTATCAGCTACTATCTAAACCTTTAAATATAATTCGAACATAACTTTCACTAAGATATATAATGTATATACTTGCATATATCATTTCATTCAATCTTTACGATAACCCTTTGGGGCCAGGACTATTGTTAACTCTAATCTACTGAGCCTCGGGCCCATTAAGTAGCCAAAGGTTGCGTAGTTTGTAAGCAATGGGGTTCAAAGTGGAGCCCTGTTCTGAGAATGTGCACGTTGGGGACGGTATGGTGAAGTCAGTGTGGCCATAGGAGAAATGAGGAGAATTGATAGGAAGAAGCTTATACTTACAGGTCTTAGAGAGGAGGGGGGGTCACTCACTGCATGCCGCACAGAATCATGGGACAACCAGCAGGGTCATCTGGGGGCAGAAGACAGGAGCAAGGGGAGAATGTAGGGCATATCTTTTTTGTTTTTAATGTTTGTTTATTTGTGCAAAGGAGAGAGAGAGAATCCCAACCAGGCAGCGTATTGTCAAGTGCAGAGCCTCACATGGGGCTCGAACCCATAAACCATGATCATGACCTGAGCCGAAATCAAGAGTCAGACACTTAACCGACTGAGCCACCCAGGTGTCACTAGGGCCCAGCCTTTACTGGGATTTCTGGTGGACGGGCAAGGCAGGGCACAGTAAGCAGTTTGGGCCTGGCTAATTTGAATAATTTGGGGGGGCTGTTGGGCTCTAGACTGGTCCCCAGGTGTCTGGTACTTGGCCCTGGGACGATTAAGGCAGAGGAATATTGTTTCCTGGGGTGTAAGAGCCACTTCAAGGAAGGACGGCTCTGGGCTGGTTAGTTTGCATTCCAAAGGTTGGGCCCTTTGCTATCACTAAGAATTGGTAGGACCTAGGACAGGCCTAGGCGCTCTCCTTAGTTAGCATGGCTTTTGATGAGGTCAAAACATCATAATATTCAGGAAACAGAAAGTACACACGATACAGACCTCAGTTGTCTGGCTGCAGGTCTGGAGACTAATCTGCCTTCGGTGCGTCCCAGGAGGGTGGCCTGGGTGCGCACACGCTCACGGGGCGGGGGCCTGCTGCCCTATAGACCGTCACAAGCGGCTCGATGGGGCGCTCAGTTGCAGAACGAGGGGAAAGCTTTCTAACCGGGACTGAAGATTTTTGGAGCCCACCCGGAGCTCCAGCAGGCAGATGTTGGCAGGTAAAGGAAGGGCATTCTGGGCAGACTAGCGCCTCCGGGTCTGGGTCAGGGAAGGGCTGAGAGGCCTGGAGAGTGTTACAGGGGGTGAGGAGGCAGAGAGAAGCCTGTGGGCTGGGGTAGGGGTAGGGGGTAGGGGGCTGTCACTGAATGCCAGGTTAAAGAGTTTTAGTTTGTTCTGCTGGTCAGGAGGAATAATGCAAGAATGGCACACCCGGAAGGGGCACGAGCGAGAAACCTGGTTCATGCTTCTGGTTTCATACAGGGGGAAACCGAGGCCCAGGGTCACACGGGTGACAAATGGCCACCGTTGCGAATCCGTGTACAGGACAGAGTTTGAGGACCAGGCGGGCCCCTGTGATGACCACTAGTGGGCAGGAACTGGGGACCCCTGGGGGATCCAGACTGGGGCCAGGAGGCTCATGGGACACCATTTGGAACTAAGGAAAGAAACTGAGGCAGGAGCTGTGTCGTACCTGGTTGTATAAGGACAGTGAAGGCAGAGGCCCTGGCGGCACAGCCGGGGAAGACGAGACAAGAGACGGAAGAGACTGAGAGCATGTGGCCCCAGAGAAGCCAAGATTTAAAGGAAGGCTCGAGGAATTTCAGAGTTTGAGCTGGTGGCTCTCATTGGTGCAGAACACCTGACTGCCAGGGGTTGAGGGGAGGAGGGAGGAGACCACACAGGGTGGGGGGGCGCAGACAGAGATCTCCGGGTGTTGGCGGGAGTCCGAGAGGAGAGGGAGCCCATGGAGGGAGAGGCAAGTTCAGGACTGTGTCTTCAGGAGGGAGAAGTGAGTCTTGTTCGGTTTGGGGGAATGAGCTCATCTTGCATAATGGGGTTAAAGTTTTCTTTTGCCTTCATCCCTGATTCTTCCTGTCTTTTATCTTTGAAACAGGGATCAGAAAGAATTTGTCGTAGGTTTATGAGGATTAATGGGAAAATGCACTGGGTAATGCTGAGTACGGTGCCTGAAACATTAGAAACACGTTAGTTAACACAGGGTAGTCATTTTTAATATTTTATTGCTGCACATTCATGAAGGGCTCACTCCAGAATCTTGAGAAAAACACTGCTTACCTTTTAAATCCTGGTATCTTACGTTTATCACTTTACGGGGGTACGGTTGATAAATAGGATTTCACATGTTTTGAAAGATTGGGCTGGAAAGAGGCCCCAAGAAGCATCCTTTTTATCGCTCCTGTACATGTGGAAATTATACATTTTAATAATTAAGGGCTACTGTTTGAGCCAAATTCCCTCCTCATCGGCGTTGGTGGGAGTTTCCCTCTTGGGAGAGAGAATTTGGTTTTGGACTTAGTACTCACATCTGCAAAAGGAGTTGAGAGGAGCTGGGACAGGACATTTTCTGATAAGCAATTTGTTTTTGTTTCTGTTTTTGTTTGTTTGTTTGTTTTGATCTGTAATCTGTAATCCAAGATTAGGGTAACTTTTGTTATTTATTAAAAAAAAAAATACTTGTCCATAGGCTGGAATGATCTTGTTCAAGCAAGGATAAATCAGAGATGACAGACGTTTCTATTGGAGTCGTCCTTCTCTGTGCTTTTTGTTGCAAACTCCATGTAAAAGGGCTGAAAAAAGGGGGTAGGAGTGAGGTATGGTCAGGAAACCAAAGGACAAACTCTTTTTCTTTTTAAGGAAGACACCTGTGATGCCAGCTAGTGAGCTCGGCCACATGGGGCGGAAAGGAATTAGTTACAGTCCTAAAAGAGGGATAAATGCATCTGG